ATTTAAGAATTATTGTGTTTACGATATTAAAATAAATTATTTGTTGTATGTGAACTGGGTGACCTTATGGTGGTCTTCTACATCTTGTGATTTGGATTTTTTTATTAGGTTTGTTAATGATCAAATATATCAAATGATGTATATCATTGACTTTGTAAAACCTTAAAGGACATGTCTTAAAATACATTTCCGTTTAAAATAATGTAGCACAATATCTACATGATATACTGTCTTGCCTACTGTTGAATTACTGCTCAATAAATTCAACAGAAATAGTACTTTATATTCATATTTTGTTAGCAAACATCATGTACTGAAATCTCTAATGAAGTGGTAAGACTTTATAATATTGTTTTGTTTTATTTGTTAACATTAAGATTAATCATTTCAACAATTTGTTTCAACAAGTTTTGTGAACTAACCTGAACGAAGAACAACTGTTTTTATAAATACCAACATTAACAAACATGAATAAATCCTGGAAAAATAGGTTGCTCAACATCAGTTCATGTTAACTATGGCAATGAAAAATGTGACCTTATTGGTTAGTTTCTGACTAGGAATTTTCACTGCCAAGAGTTTCAGAAGTAATTGCATTGGATTCAATGATATTGCTAATGATGATATTAAACTGCATTTTACTAGTGTTGGGAGTTCCCAGCATGCACTGGGACATGAATCATCAAGGACACCGTGATCTGTACCATACCAATTTACTGTTTTATTTGAAAGAAGGGCAAGAGAACTGACACAGATGTACGGCAGTGAAACAGGCAGGTCATCACAGAATAAGATGGCTGTCTATAGACTGTCTATATATGGGACATATACATATATTACTGGAGGGATAGAAAGTCACATTCACACAGATGATTCACACGATCACAATATTATTTATAAGAAATGTGGTTTTCGACAAGCACAGAACTTTCTGATAGAAAAGACTCATCAATGAAAAAAACAAAACAAACGACATTCATATTTGTACATAATTCGTCATAAAACACACACAAGCAATCCTTCAAACAAAAATCATAAAAATTACACCAGGCTCCGAACGCAAACATTCACTAGCAGTATTTCAATATTGACTTTCAGCTAAGGAGAAAAAAAAATACAAGGACTGAACTTATTCACATTTCCAAATTCAACAACCATATCAAACCAATGTACTGCATTTATACACATAAAATGTGCTCAAGTTTATCTATGAATGAAATGTATCCATGTTTACTTATATTGACCTTTTTTTTGACTATTTAAACTACAATCTATCTTTGACCTCATATACGTCTGCTGTGTATCTCCTTGCACAAAATGAACAATTTTAACCTCACTTAAATTTCAACGATTATCAAAAGACCGATGAATGCGTCAATATAAATAAATATCAGTACTACAATGTCTGTACAATATCGTTACATTTAAAAGTCAGTGTTTTCCTTTATTTAAAAAAACAAAACAAAACCTTCACTAGCACCCTTTTTGCTTGAATGCTTTTTGTAGGTTGACGCAAAACCCAGCAGACGCCCAGCTGCTCGATGTAAAGTAGTTTTCGAGCAGATACAATTTGACCTTGTGTAAATGCATTTAAAAGGCTGAGGATGTTACAAACAGGGAGGAAAGGGGGAAATAACTTTAATATCTTTGTTTCGGAAGACAGATCACGTTACAATCATAACGACAGGTGAAATTTTCCAAATTATAAGTATCAATCTTAAACTCGTCTTGGATGGTCCAAAGCCGTGACCCATTTTGCAAGGGCTTTTCCTTGTCTTGTCCCATCTCGCTCGTTCTACAAGGGCTTGTCGGTCCTGTGTGCCGTGATGAAGGCCATGCCATGCGTGCGGAAGTGCGTGTTAAGGTCCGAGGTCTTGTCGAAGCGCCGGCCGCACACCCTGCAGCTGACCCCTCCCTCCCCCTCCTCGCCCGCTTTAGGTGAAGATGGCGAGCCGTCCTGTGGCGAAGCGCCAGGTGATGCGTTTCCAGCCCGATTGTCATGCTGACCTTGGCGTAAACGGTGCGTAATGAATTTGTGTCGACTGAGCGAGCCGGCCGAGGCAAAGCAGGCGCCACACTGCAGGCACTGCTTCGGCGCGTTCTCCGCATCACAGTGGATGGGAATGTGGCGCTGGAACTCTTCCCAATCCTGTGAGGTGAAGCCGCAGGGTGTGCAGCGGAACGTGCCATCGTCTTCTTCCTGCTCGGGCGGCCGGTTCTCAGACACTCGAGTTCTTTTGGCCGGACCCGAGGCGTCTTCTCCTGCGACGTCATCGGTATCGGTGCCACCCCCTACTGGTGGAGCTCCGCCCTCGTTGTCGAGCTCTGACGAGCTGCCTGTCCCCTCGCCCGGAAGTGAACGCTTTCTGGTGTTTGGAGCATTCTGGGAGAGGAAATGAAAATTAATATATGGATAATCAAATATCTCTGAACTCTACAGAGGTGAAGTGTCCAAACTGACCGGTCTGTCTGTTGTTTGTCGAGCCCTGATGCCATGTCTGACCCGAATGTGCTTCTCTAAAATTAGACGACTACTGAACGTACGCTTACCCTCTGAGCAGTGCCTGAGGAGAGCAGTATATATATATGCACAATATATGCAGAATTAGAGGGGCAAACTAAACAAACGAAGAATCGGTTTTAGGGAGGAAAAGAAAGATTCAAATAAATTTGTGGTTGATGAATGTTTGACTCACGGGCAGCGGAAGACTCTCTTGACGCCCTCATGTATTATCCGGACATGTCGACGAAGGCTGTTGGCTGAACTGAATGAGCGTTCACACAGTCTGCAGGGGAACTTCTTCATTAACTAGAGGAGAAAAAAAAAAGACAGGCATATCACAAATGTAAAGAAATTTGAATAATTTATTTAAAAGCAAATATACAATAATAAAAAAAAAATCTCTTAATGTTTTGGATATTGGAGCCCATGGCAT